CCGCGGGGGGCAGGGGCCGCTGGGGGGAGCTGCCCGCCTCGGCCGGGAGCCTGAACGACGTGTCCAGCGCCAGGGGCCGGGAGCAGGACTCGGGCAGGTGAGGGGGTCGGGGGAGGGGCCCATGGGTGGTTAAGGAGGTGCTGGGACCTTAACCCATGGGTGGTTAAGGAGGTGCTGGTGGGAAGTGGGTGCTGGGACAGCAAAGGGCTGGGCAGAGGATCCATCCTGTGGGAGAGACTGGGGCAGGACTAACTCAGGTGTGAGGCATGGGGCCTGTCTTTGCCCCTTCCCATGCTGTCAGCTTAGGGGGAACAAGGGTTTGGGGGATACCCCTATTGCTTTCTCGATCTGAAGTCATGTAGGGGTGCACTATGCAAGGGTCTGAGTGGGCTTGTGGGTGCAGATGGGACAGAGTATGGGGGTGGCATGGCATGTGAGGAGCAACAGCCTGCACTCAGCTGAAGGGGGCAGGCGACATGCTGCCCTCTGCTCTTGGTACAAGGGCTCAGAGAAGCTGTACTGGGGAGGTGTGTGTATGTCGGGGTATGTACCTTTCATACATAGGGTACATACGGGGAGGGAGAGGGATATAGAGACTGCATTATAGTGTGGGCTTTCAGTGTCTGGATGGGAGGTGGGTATGGGGGGTGGCAAGTGAATGGTGTGGTGTGGGTGGCAGAAAGATGGTTTAGTATATGTTCATGTGGAGGGGCATGGGGTACACTGCAGGGTACACTCCTGTCATTTGCAGAAGAAGGTTGGTATGCATGTGCAACAGCATAGCTGCTCAGCTCTGTGGGCAGGCATGCCTCACAAGTGTGCTCTCAGCACAGAGCACCAAGGAGGGCATGGGTTATGTCTATCTGGCATGGTGCTTGTTGCTGGTCAGATGTTCAGTCCCTGCTCTGAGGGGATTTCAGGCATGTGACATGTAGGTGGAAGCAGGAATACACTCCTAGCAATGCTTTAGGAGCAGCATCTGGCAAGGAATAGCTGTTTTTAAATGTCATGGGGCCAGGCTTTGGGTTCAGACACAGACAGGAAAGAAACTCAGATACTTCTCCCATGGATTGTATTTTCCCACAGACAGCCCCACCTACAATCTGACTTAGTGAGGCACAATCTCCACTTGTTGATATACTTTGTACTACCAGTTCTCGAAAACTTCCATGGGTGATGTACCTGAGCGAATGAGTGACAGCTAATATCCAACTGTATGCTAAAACTTGCACATCTGAATCTCCGTTATTGCTGATTATATACTGTATGTATTGAGTGAACCTTAAGCAAAACTATTTTCTGTAGATAGTCCAGTTGTGACACCCAGATGTTCAGAAACTATATCTCAACCCATGTACTATAGTTCACTGTTTCTCAACCAGTGGTACGAGGACCCTTGGGGATGCTCGAGAGAAGTCTGGGGGGTACGTCAACACCACTGAAGTTTTGAGAACTGAATTTTTGTTCTAAATTTTACAGCACTGCTCTATTTTTGTACTTTTTACACCCCAAAATGTCATCGCCTGCCTGGCTATGATTAAGTTGTTTAAACAAATATGTTGCAGTGGTAAGAAAAAATGGTTTGTGTGCATGGCATGCTTGCAAAAAACTTGAGGGGGCTAGGCTGGCAGTGCTGAGACTGCATCCTATTGTGCTGGCCTAAGCTGTCTTATCTCTTTCCCACCTGTTCTTGTCTGTCTTGGATTGACTAGGTGGGTGAAGAACCTTTTATTGGGCCAACTTCTGTTGGTGACAGATGGGAGCTTTGAGCTATGCAGAGCTGCTCTTCAGGTCTAGGCAAGGTAGCCCAAGCATCACAATGAAGTGGAACCATGTTTAGAATAAGCACACATTTGAAGGGACCATTCAAAGTAGAGTGGCCCTTTAACATGTCCACAGCCATAGGATGCCAGCGAATCCCCTCTCTTTGTCCAAAAATTAGGAAGCCCCAGTGTCGCAATCTAAATCTTTTGACTAAATGGTGATGGGGTTCTGCTTTCTCTATCAGCAACCTGACTTGAGGGATTTGAACCCGTGTCTGACTTGTCGTGTCTTATTTCTGGGACGCTAAAGGCAGCTCCTCTCAGGAGCCATTGATGAAAGGGACTGTGGAGCTGACCATTGTTGCCTAAAGACCAGTCTGCGAGCTGTATGTTCTCCTAGGCCACTTCCAGTATGGCTTCAGCAGTACTGTTCAGTGCTATAGTAGGGTAGTCCCATGGGAGCGTTGCTTACCCAGTGAACTAACACCGCCCCCGTTAATAGGGAAACTGCTTCAGTGGGAGGAGTGAAGAATTTGGAGCTGCAGGGGGCTCATGTAGTGGTCTGTTCACTGCTCCCCATGTTACCATGTGGAGTTGGGAGCGGTGAGTCGCTGTATGCTTGTTTCCTAGGGCTGGGAAAGTAGAGGTGCCCTATTTGAGGGGAGGCAGAAAGTATCTTACTGGGATCTCAAGTGAGTTTCTGGTCATCCCAGGGGCAGCGTTTAATGGACTGTGGGAAAGTGTAGCTCTTGCCCAGGAGAATTGATTGGCCTAATCTCAGTCCTTTGGGAAGAGAAGGGCACAGGAAAGGGGTAGTTCAGGGCCAGGGAACCTTTTTTGCGTTGGGGGTTGTTGACCCACAGAAAAATCAGTTGGACAGAAAAATCAGTTGGACAGGGGAGCAGTGGGAGCTGGAGCACCAGTGGGGGCTCCCCAGTGTTTTTGGTGGGGGGGGGGGAGCCCTGAGTCTCGGGGGCCAGATCCAGGCAACTGCAGCCAGTGGGCCAAAAACGTGCCTTCACCTTGCTGGTGTAGGCTGGGGGACTGAAATTACTGGTTGTTTCTAAATAGGGGATGGCATGAGTTAACCCTGAGATCACCTCACCTAAACTTCTGAGCTAAATTGCAGAGTCAGCTTGTTACTGCTGAATGTTGGCCATGCGTTTGAACCTGAAGTGCTGTTAATGGACTCCTGGGATGAGTCTTGGTGGTTCTCTACATGGGGGTGTTGAAGCCGTTTTATACTGTGACTTACAAGCCCCATTTACCACAAATGGACCTTAGACGGGGGAGAGCTCCCATTTGCTTGTCATGGCACTGTTGTGCTAATGGAGTTGTGGTTTATTCACTCATTCCGGTTCTGGTCAGTAAGAACAAGGAAGTCTTTAGGATTTCCAAGAACTGAAGTCAAGGGGCATGAAATTAGCAAGGAGGTTTTAACAAACTTAGATCAGAAAGAACATACTGCTACTGGGGCTGTTGCTGTTTCCAGGGCTTACATGCGGAAGCATGGAATTCTGCTGCACACGTTAGATAGCATTCTAGCAAAGAGTAGTTCAAAGTGCTGAATGCAACTACTGCTGTAGCTCAGGGGCTCTTCTCTGCTGCCTCCAGCTTCACAATTTGGCCTCAGTTTCTGCTTAGATGGGAGCTTTCTTCATGGGGCTGTCTGTGAGAGGCACAGGGAAAAGAGCCCATCCCTGTGTGGTGTTCCAGGTCCCCTGCTTGCCAGGAGACTGCGTAGTAGCAGTGTCCATTGGTGGCTGGAGGGTGTTTGGCTTTACGTGGTCTCCTTCTAGCGGAGAAGAGTGGTGGAGGCCGGTGGGTTTGCTGCCCACGTCTGCAGCCTTCCATGTGCAATCTTTTCCGTGCTGATGTCAGAACAAGGAGAAAAGGCTTTCAAGGAACCATGTGCTGCTTGCCCACGTTTTCAGGAGCCGCTGTGCTATAGCAGTGGGACAGCTTCAGGGTCCTCACAGCTGCTTCTGCCCCCTATTTTGTTGGCTTAACCTCCCCTCTGGGGTTGTATTGGTGTCTTCTTCTCCCCAAGCTGCCTCTAAGTGCTGCTAAATGGGTAGGATTTCTAACATGCATGCTTAAAAATACTGATTTCCCCCCCCCCCCATCTGCATCTGTTGGCTGAGTCGCTCACTTAAGGACACTATATCTGCAGGTTCATAGAATCATAGAACTGGAAGGGACCTCAAGTGTCATCCAGTCCCGTCCCTCACGGCAGCACCAAGCACCATCTAGACCAACCCTGACAGGTGTCTGTCCACCTTCTCTTCAATATCTCCAGTGATGGAGATTCCACAACCCCCCTAGGCAATTTATTCCTGTGTTTAACCGTCCTGACAGGCAGGGAGTTTTTCCTAATGACCCACCTAAACCTCCCTTGCTACAATTTAAGCCCATTGCTTCTTGTCCTAGCCTCAGAGGCAAGGAGAACAATTTTTCTCCCTCCTACTTGTAACACCCTTTTAGATGCTTGAAAAAACGCTCTCACGTCCCCTCTCAAACTTCTCTTTTCTAAAAAAAATCCAGTTCTTTCAGTCTTCCCTCCTAGGGCATGTATTCTAGACATTCATGTTTCTTTATGGCAGGTTATATTTGTGTAGACTGCTGGTTCTTTGCCTTGGTTCCCTTTTTCTCCTAGTGAGGACAATGAACTCTTTGAAAAGCCCAGTGTAAGGCAATTGGTAGTTTTAACACACGTTTGCTGGTTGAGGTAAATCCTATGCTCTCCCTTTGGGTTTTCCTCCATCAGCCAATGCATGTTAAAACTGCAGCATGCCTCATCTGCACTAGGGCTTTGATGTTGGTTAGCACCCATGTTATACGTTTTCTAGTGTAGACATGGCGTGTCAGGTGCGCCACAGATGGCTGACATGACCTCATTCTGTAGCTTTTGGGGAAGAAACCATTCCACTACGACCAGCGTTCAGACTGGGGAGGAGGCTGCAGCAGTCTAAGAGCAATGCTGCTTCAGTTAGTTCAAAGTTGAGTTTTGGTCCAGCTGCTGCTATTCCTGGACTTGCTACTTAGCTTTCAGGCAGATTCCTGTCAGTATATCTGACTCTGCTGCTTCTTCCTTCCTGCTCCCTCCCCAAATTCCTGTTCTGAGATACTGAGACCAAGTTCATTAGGTCTCGGTACTGCACAAGGGTGTTCACCCGGCCGACTTTCTTGTATGTTACTGCTAAGCAGAATCCCCAGGTTCTGAAGTTACAGCCCAGGCTTTCCAGAGTATTCCGATTAGGGATGTTAAATTTAGTTTAATCAACCAGTTGATGGATTTTCCATCGACTAGTCAAAAAGTGGGGGAGCTGATGCGGGGCTAGCTCCCGGCTCTAGGAACTAACCCTGCTGCACATCAGCTTTTTAAATGTATTGAGAGCCTCCCGTCTTTTAATACATTTAAGAAGCAGAGGCACTGCATCTGAGACTGGGCGTGAGCTGGGAACCAGATGATTCCCACCTTGCATCTGGTCCCTGCTACCCCTTTGCCTTCCCTGCCCTCCACAGAGACAGTACTGGGGGGAACCGGCTTTTAAGATGACTCTCCCCAGCACTGGCTTCTGCTCCCTGCCCCTTTCTGTCTCTGATAAGCTCTATCAGATAGTCAACTAGTCGCTTACATTCCTAATTCAGATTCCTTGTTGGGACCCTAATTCAGACTGAAAGGGAAAGTGGCCCTCATTACTTAAGCTCAGGAGTCTGTTTGGATGAACTGGGGTAGACTTTAATTGCAACTAAATACAGGGATACCCCTGGCAACATTCCTGCCTTTGGGCCTGAGCATTAATATTTAAATACTCACATCAAAGAAATTGCTCTTCATCTCTGTCTTTCTGGAACCAATTACAGAAATTAGGACTGCACAAGGTTTCATTCACCTTGTCTAGAACAGCAAGTTCTCAGGGCTGTCTGAGCTGCTGTTGATCTGGTGGGCAGCTGAACCTAAAGCGCTTCAAGTTCTTTCCTCTGATTTAAAGATGCCCCCGTCTTAGCTGTGACCTCTGCGATATTTGATAGGGATCATCGGATGCCTGCGCTTGCCATGTGAGGTGCTTGGGAATTCCATCACTAGCATTCTTTAGCAACTGTCGTGTCCACCATAATGCCCACTCATGGCAGGGTTTTTTTGAGGGGGGGCACTTAGGGGATCTCCTACAGTACTACATTAAACTGATGCAGGAGTGTTCTGTTGCTGTTCACACTTGATTTAATATTTTCCACCGGGATATTGACATTTGTTGCACCTGAGAAGAGGGAGAGGAAATCTTAGAGACTGTTTGGTTTTAAAAGTTAAGCATAGCGGTGTCCAGGCCCTGTGAATTTCTGGATCTGACTCCACTGCAGATCTAGAAGTGAGAAAAAACACATGGTGTCTTTTTTTACATGATTATAGAAGAGTAGCATAAAAATGTAGCTTTTAGCAATGGCACAGAGAGAGCCAAAATGTTTCTGCTCCATGCAGTTTTCTGCATTGGAACAAATCTAACTAAATTGTAGGCTTAGCTGAGATAAGGCCAAACGTGTATTTGTGTGTGGTGGCTAACCAGTGTTAGTCTCATCCCTCCAGGAATAAAATAAGGCCTTATTAAAAGATGTTAGAGGCTTAATTCCAAACTACTTTGGTTTTTTAAGTGATCAGTATCTAAATACTGATGTTTCTCACTACTGTCCTTATTTGCAAAAATAGGGCGTAATATTTCCTTCACACCTGTGCTGTCCCATCAAAATCAACAAAGTCTCTCAAGAATAAATGAGAACAGAATTTGTTATGCCCTGCAGAAGAGGCTATAGTTGGATATTCTGCTCACAGATTTTTAATGCCAAAATTGGCACTTAGATCCCCATGTTCCGGGAATTTGGTTACATTGATAGCCTGTGCAGCGTCACACTGTGCAGAAGATGGGAGTCTGGTAGCTAAAGTGCTTTGAAACTGACAAGCTTCTTAAGTCTGGCGATGGGATGACAAAGGCAAAACCTGCGAGTGGATTTCAGAGAAGCATTCAGATTGTGGGGTGCGCTAGCTCCTTACAAATCTAAACATGGAGGTGGGGAGAGAAGAAGGTTCACGGGGAGCCAAGTCGGCCTGGTAAAATCCGACTGGCTCAGAGTGAGAGATTCTCTTGGATAGGCAAGTAAGCTATTGGCATTTGCATCATGATTCGGATGGGCAAGAAGGGCTTATGTCTAGGTTAGTAAATTTTCAGGTCAGTGCTGTAAGGCAGAATGTAGTAAAGCATGTTTTAGATGGCACTGTTCTTCGGTTGTGAAGTACAGGTTGGACCTCCCTGCTCCGTAACCCTCGGGACCTGACTGGCTCCAAATGAGGGAGTTTGCTGGACCAGGGATGTTGATGCTGGCTGGACCCTTTCCGGGGGTGGCCTGGCCGGAGAGGTTCAACCTGTTTGGCACAAATTGACTTGTCTAGCCTAGGTGGAAATTTGCATTTGACATCTTTCAAGTGGTCAGCATTTGGGGCAGGTCTTGGTAAGACAATGGTCTAGTACCGTGGTCACCAACCAGTAGATCGCGATCTACCGGTAGATCTCAGGGGCTCTGAGAGTAGCTCTTGAGCCCTCTGAACTGCCCGCCTGCGCAGTACATTTACATTAGATTTCCTCATTTGAGGAGCAGCTACTCACCGAGCAACAACACAGGTGAGCAGCTGCAAGGAATGGTGGGAGCTGGGAGGGCTGAAACACCCCAGCCAGCTGACTGTGGCTTTCAGCTGAAAGAGGCTGCCCCGTCCTCCAGCTGATAGGTGGCTTCTCCTCTGCGCCTGCCCATGTGGAGCTTGGTGCACCCTGGCTGAGTGCCATGGCCAGCTGGCCGGGCAGCCACTTCTCTTCCCTCCAGCCCGGCTGGCCCTGCCCACCGCAGGTAGGCTGTGTCTAGCTCCACCTGTGCTGGAGCAAGCTTCCCAGGCTGAGCGCAGGATCACAGATGCCCATTTGATTGACTGTATACGACTAGCAATGTCAGACTACAACCCAGACTTCAAGACATTGGCAGATACTGTTCAGTCAGTGTCACACTGAGACTTTATTGGAAGAAAAAAATATATAATTCTCAATACTTGATTTTAGATTTACAAAATAGCACAGAACAAAATGTATAATTGTAAATGTTTCATTTGACATTTAAATAGCATGAATTAAAAACAGACCATTTATTTCATAACTATAAACGTGATTTTAATTTTATATACTGAATAATTTAAAAATAAACTGATTAACAGAGTGTATAAGGGCAGGGGATAGCAAGTGATGGACAGGAGAATAGAGAGGGTGGGGCTTCAAGGAAGGGGCGGGGCGGTAGATCTTCCTGTTCTGAGACTTAAAAAGTGATCTTGGGTGTAAAAAGGTTGGAGACTACTGGTCTAGTATTACCTTGCTGCATGCAATACAGGGAACTACCCCTGTAGACACTCTTATTAGAATTTGGTTGCACACTTAAGATCAAAACTTGCGCACAGGCCAAGAGTCAGGCTTGATTTGCCTAGAAAACACTCAAGTGGCAGCCATGTATTTCTGACGGCCTTGCATGAAACTCAGCTTCTGCAAACCAAGCTTTAAGCAGGCTCGTTTCTTCATTTGTTGTGGTGGGACAAAAAACCTGCTTCCTGTGAGGTTGTAGGCCGGAGGGGCTACTTGCCGGAGGCTTTCTGAACAGCAGTTCGTGGTCAGCGTTGGCTGTGCTCAGATACCAGAATGTGGCTGAGCGCTCCAAAAATAGTACTTCTGAGTATAAAGAAAGGAATCAAGTTCGAGAATGTTTTTAACTCTGGAGTTACTGTTGCAAGACCGCCACTTGCAGTAAGCGCTAGCTACTAAAAGAAAGAGGAAGAGAGACTGCTGAGTTTCAGTTTCCCCATCTGCCATGCATAGACTTGGATCTTGAGCCAAGTTGCAGCTACTTTGCCTTGTGAATTGGTGACAATACCCACCTTTGCAAAACCCTTCAGGATCGTTCAGTGGAAGATGCTGTCAAAGGCTAATTCTTACAGGACAGTGCCGGGACATGGCTACATTTGTTAGGCCATATACCAGGTACATTTTGGAAAGGAAATTTTGACTCAGCTTGGAGGAGTCCTCAGAGGTACATTTTAAGCCATGTTCCCATATAGCTAAATGGGCTTAGAGGGCAGCTTTTCCGCAGTTCACCAGGTCTGACGGTCTCGGGAAGGCTGGGTACCACGTGTAGCACTTGAAATGAGCGTCAATAGAGTTGACTGGTCTTGCATTCTACATGTAACCTGTAACTGTGTGGCTGTTCCATGCTTCACCTAAGGCATCTTGCAGTAATGGCCAACCAAGGGGAAGAGTGATTTCATCGTAGCATTGTATCCGTTTGAAACAGGCTGCACAGCTCACGTTGGAGTAGATTTGCTCTGACTTTCCTCCTGAAATGAACTTAATGATCAGTTTAGAGACTTGAGTTTTGTGTCGTGGTGGTCGAAACCTCTCTAGTCTGGCACCCTCAGGAACTGACTGGTGCCGAACCAAAGAATTTACCAGACCACAGGAGGCTGGAATTGTCTAGCAGCATGACCAATCCTTCCACTGCTTCCTGGGCTTTTAGAAGACAGTAAGGGATAAATTAGAGCTAAATAACAGCACAGAGCAGTGAGAGCCAGGACTGGTGGCTGTAAACAAACTTTATGGGCGTGTAGGAAAATTGGCCACACCTGTAAATGGACATCCGGCTCACTGAAATCGTGCCGGACCATGGGTGTAGCCGGAGCAGAGAGTGCCGACTAGAGAAACTCAACCTGCACTTTCTGGTTTTCTAAATCAGTTTTGGCTTAGTATTTGTGTGTGTTTCCTGTCCACCAAACTGCACTGCAGGTAGAGGGACTGGCTTTTCAGAAGATCGAGCCGCACGGTTTTTCCAGAGCTGAGGAAGACTTGCTGCCTCCTGTATTCATTAGCTCTTGCTCTTTCTCAATAGGAAACCCCGACTGACAAGAACTCAAAGTGCCTTTTCTCCGGTTGCTTTCAGCCCTCTCTTCACAGGTAAGGCTAGAAAGATGAAGTGACACACTTGTACTGCATACACCTTGGCTTGCTGCTCTTTAGATTTAATTACAGGGAATGAAGATTTCCTCTTCCATTCATCTACTGAGTGCTGTGCGGTTCACTAGGACTGACAGTCTCACAGGCCCCTGAAACCAGCACCAGTGTAAGGGTTGTCTGTCCTGGGACGTTAACGAGGATAAAGGTCGGGGGTGAATTTAAAGCTCAGAATCTGTTCCTTATTAAATGTGTGTGGGGGACCCTCGACAGAAGCAAGCCAGTGTAGCCAAGTCCCGAGGAACGCAGCTCCTTGTTCTGATTCACATTTTTCATGTTTACTGTTGAAAGGGCACCAGCATCCAGAAGTGTGACCTTAGCAGCGGGGTGGGCAAGAGGCAGGGAGCAGCTCACACTTTAAAAAGCTAGCTGTTTTCTGTTCCAGACAGCTTGGAAAAGAGGAAGGAGATTTCTCATGCTGTTCCCGCCCTACCCAGCAAAATCTTAGTTCCTATTGACCAATCTCTGTTTCCAGCCAATAGAAACTGAGAATTTTTGCTGGGAACAGGGGCAGCGTAGGAAGCCCTCCCCCCCTTTTTAAAAATCCAGAGACTTAAGATTGCCAGCTGTAATTTATGGTGAATAAGGGTTCAACTTTTGCTTATCCGGAGTTCTGTTAAGTGGACCTTTTTTCTTCTGTGTTTTTAATCTAGTACTGGGCTGAGGTTCCTGGGTGTGCAACAGTGCAAATATTACATCTTGAAGCAGTTTGAGAGAGTTAGCCGTTGAGAGTCAGAATTGAAATCTGAGGAAGCGGGCTGTACAGCTGGCTCTGAGGTTAATTCAAATGGCGATTGAGTTCCTGTATTAAGAGATTTAGCTAGCCCCCAAGATATGGATTTGATTTACTTCGGCAGAATTGTTCGCCTGGGATTTATAACTACACAGCTGCTTAGAATCCTCTTCAGAATCGATCAGGCTTGGTTATTTTTAGTATTTGATGCAAGTCCAATCCGATAGTCTCACTATCTTGTAGATTTGATAATTGGATTGCTTTAGTCTTCAGCTTGGTATTAGGAGGGTTGCTTTGATACTCTTGAATAAAATCAAGGAAGCTGCTTTAGTACGATCATTTAAAAAAATCACACGGCTCTTACTAGCCATGCAGGTCCAGAAACTTTCAGCACCTGGGTCAGTGCTAGCTAAGTAACCTAAAAACCTGACCAGTTCTGTGTTAGGTATATCTCCATTGGTATATATAGGGCTTGGCAATCTAGTGAATCTACTCACCCATGGTGAGTAGATTTCAGCCCGGCACCCTGTTTACCAGTGGCATGTGCGTGCGCAATGCGGCTCTTGCGCGTGTGCAGTGTGGGCGAGCAGCTTTCGCCACAGTTCGTCAAGCCCTGGTGGTTTATATATATATATATATATATAAATAACAAAGGTCGTCCAGTCCAGTCCCTCCCCTCCCAGCAGGACCAAGTACCCTCCCTGTCAGATTTGCCCCAGATCTCTAAATGACACCCTCAAGAATTGAACTCTCAACCCTGGGTTTAGCAGGCCAGTGCTCAAACCACTGAGCTATTCCCCCCGCAGCCCTGGGTTCAGGCAGGCCCCCAAACGTGAGAGACTGTGCAGCATTAAACGGGGGTTGAACCCCAAATCACTTGATCCTAGACTATTGGCTGGCACTCCCCTTGGAATCCACAGGCACGTTGTCTGTAAGACTTCTGGCCGGGGGTGGGCAAGTAAGGTGGCAGAGGGCCACACGGTCCTGTAAAAGCCTTTGGCATGCTGGGGTATGTGACCTGGGTTTGGGTCCTGCGTGTAGGTGGTGGAAGCCCTTTGCAGGGGGAGGTATTAGAGACTGAGCCAGTGCCACCCTCGCCTTGGAATGGTGACTCCTGTGCGGTGGGGCAGTGGCACCCCGCTCTGGCCCGTAAGCTCTTACCACAGCATCACCTGACCCATGTATCTGTGTAAAGGAGATCCTCCCACAAGATGCCTCCTCCTGCCCCCTTCTTGGCTACGGCGTTTCTAGAAGGCCGGCTCCGTGCTGGGCTGGGCCAAACCAAACGATCTGGCCAGCTGTTCCCAGCCTCTGTGCTGCTAGTTGCCCTTCCCTGGTTTGTTGCCTTTTTTGTTCACCAAGAAGGCTGGTGGTGCTTGGGTGCCTACAATAGGGAATCCTGGAGAAAAGGAGGTAGGTTCCGAAGTTACAATAGGAAAAGAACAAAGAAATAACTGTTCTCTGAGTAGTCGTCACTGGCTCAGTCACGCTGGAGGGGCGTAACAAGTAGGATCAGTTTTGGGACTAGGTCTTCTCCGTATCTTCAGTGATTTAGATAAAGACGCAGAGCAGGGGCGGGGAACCTTTTTTCAGCCGGGGCCACTGACCCACATAAAAACAGTCAGGGGCTATGCCCAATTGAAAAACAAACTTCGCTACTCATCTGCTCCCAAGGAGGGAAATGAACCAAACAAACTCAGAGGCTGGACCGACGCTGGCGGTGGTGGGGAAGCTCAGGGCTGCTGGCCCACGGCGTGCAGACTTGATGTGGGCTGGATTTGGCCCATGGGCAATAGTTTCCTCACCCCTTGCATAGTGAATACATGTACAAAGTTTGTGGATGATACCAAGCTAGGAGGGGGTTCCAAGTGCCTTGGAGGGTGGGCGTCATAATTTAAAATGATCTGGAGAAATGGTCTGAAGTAAACAGGATGCAATTGAATAAGGACAAATGCAAAGTGTTTCTGCCTGAGTGGATGAATCCGTTTCTCTCAGAGCATGGGAAGCGACTGCCTAGAAAGGAGCCCTGCAGAAAGGGAACCCAGGGGTCAGAGTGGACCACAAGTGAAACACGAGTCCACAGGGTGACACTGATGCAAAGAGGGAAGACTGAAAGAATTGGGCTTGTTTTGCTGAAAAAAAGAGAAGACTGAGAGGGGGCAGGAGAGCAGTTTTCAAGGAACTAAAAGGGTGCCCTAAAGAGGAGGGAGGAAAATTGTTCTCCCTGGCCTCAGAGGACAGGCCAAGAAGCAAGGGGCTTAAACTGCAGCCAGGGAAGTTGAGGTTGGACATTAGGAAAAACTTCCTGCCTGTCTGGGGGGGTTAAACACTGGAATAAATTGCCTGGGGGGTTGTGGACTCTCCATCTCTGGATATCTAAGAGCAGGTGAGACATCTGTCAGGGATGGTCCATCTTGGGGTGGGCAGTAAAATGGCAGTGGTCCGCCAGTGGTGGGCCACTACATACTTACCGGGACCGCTGGAGGTACAGTGCTTGCACAGATCGCTGTTCCTGGCAGGGAATGGCGTGGACCAGGACATGGCGTCCTGCAGCTCCCATTGGCTGGGAGGAGCAATCTGCACCAGCAGGAGCTGTGGCGCCCGTACCTGCGGCGGCCCAGGTAAACACAGTGGTGACAGCCCACCAGGGGCTAACCCTGGAAAACAGCTGCCATTTTAGGTGTGTTTACACAGCAGAGCTTAATTTGGAATAAGCTATGAAAATTGAGCTACATCAATTGTGTAGCTTAATTCAAAACTGGGTACACAGCACTTATTTCAAAATAGAACACTCTTCCTCTGAGTGCCCTTACTCTTCGTAAAATGAGGGTTACAGGAGTCCGAGTAAGAACTCCTCTAGCTTGACAGTATTTCAACATTATTTTGAAATAACTGCCTCCTGTGTAGACACAGACTGGCCGAATCCGGCCTGCGGGCCGATATTTGCCCACTGCTGATCTAGGTGCTGCTTGGTCCTTCCACGAGCACACGATGGGACTAGACATAACGCCCTCTCGAGGTTCCTTCTGATTCTGTGATCTGGCCAGAGGTTCCCATGCATGCCATTGGCCTTTTAAACCACTTTGTGAGCTATAGAACGTCAGGGGACCCTTTGTAATGCTTTGGTCAGCATCCACATCTAAAATCGGAAGCACCCAGTGAAGCCTATGGAGGGAGAACGTGGCCAAAGAACTGCCCCTGCCGTATTGCCGACTGTCTTCCTCTTGGGGTGGCTGGCGAGGCGATACCTTTCATAGCCAAATACACAAATGCACTGTCACGTCCAAAATGTGACCCTTCCGTCAGCCTTGGGCGCTTGGCGTCTTTCCATGGGTGTCCAGCATGGCCCAGGAGAGTACACGAGATGCGCACATTGGCAGCACTGGTTTGTTCAGTGCAGCAAGTGAAGTGTTGAAAAACCGGAAACCCCTCCGATTCCTTGCTCGGAACGTGCTTCTGCCGCCGATACCTCAGATGCCCACCCACACACTGCCTGTCCTGTCAGCCTTGAAACCGCCCCTCTTAGTCGCCTGCAGACTGGCTGGCTCCTATGGAAAGGCTCTGCGTGCCCATTGGAGGTTGTGTTCGCTAGCTTGTGCCGTTTGCTCGCACTTGACTGTTGTTTGGAGCCTGACCCTTGAGCTGCTGTGGCCAAGTTAAAATCCGGGCAGAGGGGAAATTCAGCTTGGGAGCGTTTAATATGAGACTGAAGCAGAGGCCTGTGGCCTGCATGGAAACTGGCCTCCAAACCTCCCTCAAGCCACCGCCTTGCAGCGTGACAGTCTCTTCCCCTGGCCTGCTCTGGAGCAGGGGCAATCTCTCACTCGTCTCTCTCCATGAATCTCTCAGGGGAAACTGTGTCACTCGTGGATGTGGACATCTCCCAGCGAGGACTGACCTCCCCTCACCCTCCGACGCCTCCGCCTCCGCCCCGGAGAAGCCTCAGCCTTCTAGGTACTCTGCGCCCCTCGCCCTGTCCTTCCTTCCTGGCCCTGTGTCTGGGTTGGACTTGGTAGGGCTTCAATTCTTGTCCCGTTTTGGAGTACAGTGCACAGGGTTCCTTCCCATTTTCACTTCCCATGCAAAGAATTTTTCCAAGGCCTCTCCAGGGAGGGTTATTGTAGGACACTGAAGCGGGCCCTTTCTCCTGGGTTTAACATGCTCGCTCTGCAGCGCTCCCCGGCTTCTGAGACGGCAATGCAAACTTGGGCGCCGCGGACGTGACTGCATGCTGGGTGGGGCCGTTAGACCTCCCAAAGCCTGCACTGATATTCTTAATCATCTGTAGCCAGCCCCGTGCCCCCTAAATACCCAGTTTAGAAATGAACAATCTTGATTTGCAGGGTGGGGTGCACGCCTGCAGGGAGGTTGCACCAACGTCCGCTCTTCGGAGAAGCCAGCGGAAGGCTGAATTGCTGGTGCATGCGCTGTCTCTTCCCCTCCCGCCCGGCACCGCAAGCAGAGCCGAATGCTGGGCTTGCTTTTGCGCCCTTGGCAGCTTGCTTCCTTCCCTATTTTCTCAACCTCTCTTGCTTCTGTTCTCTTCTAGATGATATCTGTGGAACGCTGCCTACGTCCGTTCTAGTGGGTCCGATGGGGTCCTCCCTGCAGTCTTTCCCTCTGCCTCCGCCGCCTCCACCCCACGCTCCAGGTCAGCTTAGGCTTAGCGGCAAGGCTGCTTTGGCCTGGCAAACGTATGGCCGTACTTCGGGCTGTATCGCCCGGGAGCGCGATAGCAAGGCCCGGGCGCTGCCCCTTTGACTGGGCCAGATAAGGCAGGGCGGAGCGGAGACATGCTTGAGTCAGGCCTCTAGGCTCCTTGTGAAATGATTTGTACGTGGACTGTGGCTGGCGGCGTTGCTCAGTGTCCTCGCTTCCCTCTTGCATTGGGCCCCCTCCCCTCTTCTCCATTTCCTCTCTGCGCTTCAGCAGAATTGGCATGTGCACAGAGCCAGCCGCTTCTAGCGTTGGGGCAGTTCTGGGAGTAGGTCTCGGTGCTGGCCCCCTGGGCTCATGGACATCTGGCTTTGTGGAGCTGGGTGGCATCACGCACAGGGCTCTGTCCCTTCGCCTCCAGTCTCCTGTCTTCCTGGTTCTAACTTTAGGCTGTTCAATTTTTGGAGCCTAGACTGCATGGACGGCCTCCCTTTGCAATCCATTTTTCAAGCAGCCCTGTGTCTGTGGTCAGCCCTCGGAGGGGCTGCCAGTGAAGACAATGAATTGGTTGCCTTGGAGTTGCTAGCCAGGTTTTCCAGCTCAGGGCTCCTTCCCAAGGACGCTGTCCGGCCATCAAGGCAGCTGCTTTTCTCCTGCCGTGGCTTCTCTGTGCCTGCCTGGCCCTCTAGAACCCGGGGCCTGCTTGGGGAGGGCGGCTTGTGTTCTTTGCAGCATTGCTTGTAAATAGGTGACCGCTGTCTGCCGTGGCGGTTGTTTCCCTGCAGATGCGTTTCCCCGCATTGTCCCGTTCAGAGCGATGGAGGCAGCGAACGGCCAGACCACCCAGCATCTTCCGTGTCCTCTCTACCGACCAGACTCGAGCAGCTTTGCAGCGAGCCTGCGAGAACTGGAAAAGGTAAGGGCTTCTGTGGCTGCTCTTGCGAGGCCTCCAAAGGTTCTCGGTTGCTGGACCGTCTGTGGGTTAACTCAGAGAGCTGCCCTGTTGGGCTTTCAAGCTTCCCCCGAATGGGTTTGGAAGCATGAGACAGGGATAAGAGAAGGGAAGCTGTATTCCCCTAATTACAGCCCCGCCAGTGACAAATTCTCCCCTTGTATAGTCGCCCCAGCTTGAGAAACACGTGGATGGAATTGGAAGGGGCGTGTGTGAGATATTCTCTTTATTTCGGAAGCTTGCATGTGTAAAGACGCATTGCGTATGTGTGCTGGAATGATGCTCCTGTTTGCTCTAAGAAATTGACTCGGTGCTGCCAGTGATCATCAGCCATGTGACTAGTGACGAAACTGGTTTATCTGCTAGTATAGCTAGAGCAGAAGAGTTTAATGCTGTTTACTTGCTCTGAACTGTCTGAGTTTGCTCTTAAACTCCTCCCCAGAGCAGGTGATGGGGGGGCACGTGGCTGATAGCCTTTGTTGGCGGGGGAGTTAACCGCAGTATATACCAGTATGATCAACTGCAGCTCCTGGAGTGAAATACTTTCCTTGCAGAGGAAATGTTGTAGAGCGATGTCTGCCAACAGCTACAGACATGCCACACTGTTCATTCTTCCTTGCTGTCCGCTGCAGCGTGGGTGGCTCCGGAGCTGGCAGGGGCCCGGGCTGCTCAGTCCCAGCTCGAGCCGGCTCCTGGAGCGACTCCCGCTGCAACTCTGCAGAGCGGCCCTGTCGACTGATCGTATCGATGATACGATTAGCCCGATAACCGGCTTCTAACATCCTCGTCTGAATCCCTTGATGGTTAAGCCAATTAGTAAAGAGTGTTAATGGGCAAGTGCCTCTCCTCACTTATCAGTCTGAAGGCCTCTTCGCCCTCTCTCCTGGCAGTGTGGTTGGTACTGGGGACCGATGAACTGGGAAGACGCCGAGATGAAGCTCAAGGGGAAACCAGACGGATCCTTCCTGGTACGCGACAGTTCCGACCCGCGTTACATCCTGAGCTTAAGCTTCCGGTCCCAAGGGATCACCCACCACACCAGAATGGAGCACTACCGAGGTAAGAGCAGCCCGGTTCTGGGAATGGTTTCCCTCCCTGGGTCCCAGCCCTGTCCTGATCGGCTAATCAGCTCCGCGCTGTAACTCCGTCCCTAGGCGCCCGGAACGAGCTGCGCTTTGTACATTGTCCTGCCTGCAAAGCGGACCCTGCATTCCGCCAGCCTGGGCTCTGCTTCTATGCCGAACTGCAGCCCTTGGCGGGTCAGTACTGGGTTGGTCACAGAGGCGCTAACGAAGGCCCTAAGTCAGTGGTTCTCCAGGTGTGGTTCGTGGCTCGCTAGTGGTCCAACAGTGTTGCAGGTGGGCTTGAGGCTTGCCCCTCTGCAATGGGGAGCCAGAGCTGGTGCTCCCGCCCTGCCCCTCCTCTTCTCCTCCCTGCAAGGTCGGAGCACCGGCTTCCCACTACAGGCAGGTCAGCCTTGGGGTTGGATCTGGCTTGGGGGGAAGGAAGCGGCTCTGTGCACTGCCCCTCTCCCTCCCCCTCCTGGGGGAAACTGCTCATGTGGAGGCCTTCCCCGTTGCTCCCATTGGCCGGGAGCCTGGCCGTGGGAGCAGTGGGGGGGCGGTGCCCGGGAATGGCGGGAGGCATGAAGCCAGGTAAGCGCCCTACTCCTGTCATCCACCCCCTCCTGCTGAGACACCCCACAGCCTGCTCCTGCACCCACCTTGTCCTGGGCGGATGGCTGGTGGTGCCCAGAAAAGTCTGCGTTGAGCCGGGGGCTCCATGGGCTGAGAGGTTTGAGAGCTGCTGCCCTCGGTGTAAATATTTGGACCTACTTTGCCAGCGTAAGGCTGTGAAACGCCCCCCCCCCCCTTCTGCTCTCAGCAGCGAAGGCTAAATACGGAGCCATTCGCCCACGCGTTGTCATAGCACCCAGTCCCGCCTCGGCTGCGGCCGGCTCTGCAGACAAGCTCGTCATAGGCTTAGTGGCCACGGGAGGCTCTTGGGTGGCAAATGCTCCATTGGTCCATTTCTCAGTGAAGGAGGAGGAGGAGGAGGGGGATGGGAGGGCCCTTCTCAGAGGAGTTCAGAGCAATGTAACAGATTCCCTGTTCCCTCTTCTCCCCTCCTCCCCCCGCCCGCTCTGCAGGCTTCACTTTGGGAAAGCTTAGTAGGAAGGAGCTAATGGACTTGCAAAGCTGCTGTGTAAGACAATACAAAAAGCGTATTGATTCCTTAATAGAGCTTGGAAGCCAGGCGGGACCGTTGTGACCATCAAACCTGACCTGTGTGGGAGACCTAGCTCAGGGTGCAGCTGCTGTATCTTGTTCTTATGGGGCAGTTGATGGAACAGTTCAGTTCTGGCGATTGAAGACTGGCAAAACTTTGGGGCTGTTGAGTCGTAATCGTTATCGCCTCCCGTTTACCAGGTGACAGGAGTGTCCCGGCTAAGTGCCTTGGCCTTTGGTCACTTCCTCATTAACTGAGTCGAGGGCAGATCAGCGTGCGTGTGTCTGGCTCGTACAAACTGTCAGCCTCCCTGCAGAAGTTTTAACTTTGATCGTGTGGCTTTTCTATTCTGAGAAGTCTTTGTGTGTTGCTCACACCAGCTTCCTGCCTCATGTGGCATCTTGCTTGAAGGATACTTCTCCCCCCCATTTCCCCCTCCGCATTTGCCGTTCACATGTGGTTTTCTGTCTTGGCACTGTGCACAAAATGTTCCGGAGGGTAGCACGTACCTGAGAGACTCAGATGTTTTGAGGAGGTACCGTCTTACAAACCCTGCAGTCTGTAGCTACTTGTCCAAGTACCAGAGTACTTGGTCACCTCAGTAGATACCAACTTCTAAAGACATGCCTGCAAAAAGTTTCCCTCTGAGCTTGCCTAGCTCACTTCCCCTTTAGACAGTGTCTCTTGCCATAAAGCTGGAATGGGTGGGTGCAGGTTGTAATGTGGAATTTGAGGCCCTCTTGCCAAAAGTTCTTGTACAGTGTGATCCTCTCCTTCCAGGAGCAAGAGTTGGAGCAAGTCTTCTTCACTGCCTCTCAAACTTAATTCTTGTACTTCTGTAAGGCTAGTGACCCTTCCTTGGCGGCTCCTCCGCTGTGAGGCCGTACCATCACAGCTGGGTGTGTGTCGGGTTGAACCCCCCTCTCCTGACTGTTCTTCGAGGTGCTTAGATGCTGGCTCCTCAGAGCACACCTAGTGTGCGCTTAGCTATTGATTTTTAAGTGGGATTCCTCCTGGTTAATGTTAAGCATGTGCTTAGCTGCTCTGCTGGATGGGGGCCATCATTTATAAACTGCTTGAGGTGTGGCCCATTAATAAAACTTTCAGAAGTGAGACATGGAGGAGCCTAAGTTGGATTGAAAGTCGATGGGATTTTGAAGTCGATTAGGCGCTTTGGAGAGGTCCCTGCGTCTCTGTAGGGTGTGCAGCATCATGAGACCTGGAGCTGGGCCCAAGTGGAATATAAAAGACGACGTTCAGAGCTGCCTGTTCTCCCTGACACCCCAGTCCTCTCCAGTCGTTCCCAGGACTTGCTCTGCAGAAAGACCCTGGTGCTCCTGTTGGTCTAATTCATTCGGCACTTGCATTAGGGGTGACTGACTACTGCACGGTTCTGAAAACTGCAGAGCTGAGCGCTTTGCTACAGGGTGAAAGTAGTGGCTGAGCTAGAGGAATGGTGCAGAAAGACCTGTTTGACCTTCAGATTTCCGGCGGGGGAGAAGTACCGGGGGACGCTTGCTTGTGCCTAAGGAATGTAGCATACATGCAGGCAAAAGCATCCTATGTCCCGAGCAGCATGCAGGCAGAACTGGGCCAGTATTCTCTGATCTTCCTGCAGCAGGTAGATCTTACAGCCTGGGGTTTATACGCCACAGTAGCTATTCCTGACTCATGGCCTGGGTAGGCCTGCAGGGCCGGAACTGGCACTGGGATAGCTATGTGCGTTTAGCTACGCCTCGGCCAGTCCCTACTGTAGGGCTACTCAACACGTGGCCTGCCGTGCAGTTTGGGTTTACATGGGGCTCAACACACGGGCTGTGGGTGGGATCCTTTGAACGTGGCCTCCCCTGGGAACACGCTCCACAACGGGAAGGCGTCTCCCAGGTGGGGTGAGCACTGCAAGATGCAAGTGGACGGGCTGGCTGGCAGAGATGGGTGCAGGGTGTCGGCATTTCTAGCCCCCAAGGAGGAAGTGCCAGGAGCCCTGGGGCATTGTGGGAAGTGCTGGCTGCTTAGCCTTGTGGGCAGAGCCTGAGAGGTGCTGACTGGCTCTCACTGGCCTTGTTCGGGTCCGGTGCCGTGGCTTAAGGCTTAATCTTTGTATTCATGCCCGTCGGTGTAAAAGATGCTATTTGCATAGATTTGCATACATATTTGCATGTATGGGCAACCCCGCTTAAGTTGTGGCCCTCTGCATGTTCTGTGAGTATCACTGTGGCCCCCAGGGCTTCCAGAGCTGGGTAGCCCTGTGCTAATGTAAGTGCTCTGTGCGTGTCTGTAACGCAGCGGTTACCTATCACTTCCTGCAAGCCCCGCTCAGTGCAGGAGTCCTGCAGTGCTCCCTGGGGGTGCCTCTCTCCGCCCTGGGGCACAGCTCCTGTGTCGAGGCGGCTCCTGGCAGCATTGCCGTGGCTGTTCCGGTGGAGCTGTTCCATACGGTGCCCTCCTGAGCTACTTCGAAGTCCGTGCGTCCTTTTCCATTGCTGGAGGCTGCTCTGGCCACACGCAGCAGGCTGAGGGGAGGAGCAGACCTGCCTATAACACTCCTGCAAGCGGGGGCTGCCTCTCGGTGGGGGAGGAGAGTTCTCTTGGATGGCTTCTAAGGCTCAGACTAACCCACTGAGAGGTCTGCGAGCAGCTTAGATGGGGGAGGGGTTGTGTCTCTAGCTCTTCCCAGCCCTAGCCTCAGGCAGAAATTGTATCCCAGGCCAGCATGGGAGGAACCATCACCCTGTGTCCCTTAACCCCGCCTCTAGGTAGATGGGGCGGGGTTGGATTGAAGCATCTGGACCCTGGGCCACACCAGGCCCGCTTGGAGGGCAGGCCACAGTGTCTAGAGACCGACTCCACTGCTGGGATTGGTCTGCTTGTGTGGGCTGTGCTCCTGCATCAGCCACACTTACGTGCTGGGCTGGGGTGTCAGAATCCTTTAGCGAGAAGCACTGAGAGGCCATGGGGCAGCCCCACAGAGCTGTTGCTGAAGGGTCTCTGTAGATTGATGGGGGCATCGCTGCAGCCGGCACGCTCAGGTCACAGTTTTGGTTTTTTTACAAGGGCAGGAGCCAGAGGCATCTGTAAGCACCAGGGTCATTGTCGGTGGGAGCTGGTGTCTAGCCAGCTGTGTGAGAGGGCGGTTCAGTCCCTGGCCTGTCTGAATAGGCCAGCGCTGTGGTGCATGTCACCTAGCCGAAGAGCACGAGCGAGCAGCACGGATGACAGAGTCTCTCCCTCTAACGAGAATTGTTTCCTGTTGGCAGGAACCTTCAGTCTCTGGTGTCACCCCAAATTTGAGGACCGCTGCCAGTCCGTGGTGGAGTTCATAAAGAGAGCCATCATGCACTCCAAGAACGGGAAGTTCCTTTACTTCCTGCGCTCCAGAGTTCCAGGTGAGTCCTGCACCCACAACTACTTACAGCTTTGTGTGTGTGGCGGGGGGTGAGATCTGTGATCTGGTGGGGCATGCGCTCGAGCCCTGCTCGTGGGGCTCTGGCTTAGCACGCTGTGACCAATGCTGTCTCAAGTGTGCTTGCACAGCGGCTTTTAGACCGGCATCTGGCAAGCACGTCTGTCTCCCTCAGCTGCTTGTGCTAACAACCGTCTTCCCCCGGGTGGGAGCACGTACCGCAGCTCCCACCTCTGGGGTGCATGACTTACTGGGGGATTTCTCACGTTGGCCACTTGACGCGCATGACGTTGGTGTCTGCTCCGGTCCTTTGGGTACCTGCACTAAACGCCTGTGTGCTGTTCTAGTGCTGAGAAGACCCGGCTGTGGGTTGCTTGTTGCAGATGTGGCTGTGCGCACTAGACGACAGGCCCAGCCCCTCAGCACAGACTCCCTAATGCTCCATCATGCCATGTGCTGGCTGGTAGCCAGTTAAAACTTCACTGTTTCTCCTAGTCTGTGCTGTTTGCTGCTTCTCGTGGGCGGCTCCGCGCTCCCCAGTTCTCCCCTGGGGCCGGCTGAGCAGAGCCGCATTAAGCCAGGCACGTGCATGGGAGGGTTTCCAAGTGACAAACTCCACGTGAGCCTCATGCAGTCGCTCCTATCGCTCAAGTCCCATGGGGAGCGGCAGGGCCTGGCCACAAGGAAGGAGAATGAGTGAGGCTTTCAGTCCATGTTTGATTGAGGATTGGTAGGGAACCGGCTTCCTCCCCTCCCCCAAGTCAAGCTGGTTCCGCGTGCGCACGATTCCCTGTCACAGCAAAGCGAGTTCTGCTATCAGACTACGTTTGTGCGCTGGGACAGCCTGTCATCGGCTCCTTCTGTACCCCGGAGCCAGAAGCTGACGGGATAAATCCAGCAGGAAAGGAAGACCGGACCGCTAGTGCCAGTGACGGTTAGGGGCCGTAATGGGGTGCGGCGGTTTGAGCGGGGGTGCACAGCAACTCCTGAATGAAATGGCTGGAGCATGAGGAATCCGCCCAGACAGCCAGACTCAGGCAGAAAGGTGCAAAGGGAGGCAGGGCCTGGGAAGGTGTCAAGAGGGTGATGAGAGAGCAGGGGTGGGCAATTTATTTTTGAGGGGGACCGCTCCAAGATTTTGCAAAGTGGTTGAGAGCCGCACTCTTCCAGGGTGTTACTGGAGGAATTCCAGGGTCTGGGATGGAGGTTGGGGGAGGGGATTGGGGTGCAGGAGGGAGTTGTGACCTAGGGCAGGGGACTGGGGTGCAGGGGTTTGGGATGCGACCTAGGGTAGGAGGGGATTGTGATCTGGGGCAGGAGATTAGGGTGCCAGATGTGGGAGGGAGTATGGGTGCAGGAGGGGGCAGAGGGTTGGGGAAAAGGAGGGGCTGGGGGGCCAGAGGCAGGGTCCGGGAGGGGATTGGGGTGCAGGAGGGAGTTGTGACCTAGGGCAGGGGACTGGGGTGCAGGGGTTTGGGATGCGACCTAGGGTAGGAGGGGATTGTGATCTGGGGCAGGAGATTAGGGTGCCAGATGTGGGAGGGAGTATGGGTGCAGGAGGGGGCAGAGGGTTGGGGAAAAGGAGGGGCTGGGGGGCCAGAGGCAGGGTCCGGCTGAGAGGCAATTTTACCAGCA